AAAAGGAGGCCCAACGAGGTACTGATGGGGTGGTCATAGTACATACATCAGAGGCCCGGTGCACGAAATTAGTGCAAGAGTAGGCCTTCCTTCCCCCGGCTGCTGTCACCGGCTTCCCTCCGGCACCCGGGACCCGGGCTTCCCTCACAGCCCCGGCTTCATCTGGAAGGTCATCCAGAAGGACATCTGGTCTAATTCGCATATTATGCTTTTATTATTATAGATAAAATTTTGCCTCACTGTCTGAAATTTTCATGCTTATCTGAATTCCCTATTTTAACCATATTAAAACTTGAATTTCTCCTGTTAATCTGCCTTATGTCATTATTTATTCCACCAGCCAGAAGAACTGAGAGAGGGAAGTTTCCATGTCCCAGCAGAACCTTTGCAAAGATGTGGGTAATGATTAATAATTACTAATATTCAAAGTTTTGCTAATTGATAACAATAAGACAACTAAATAGAAAAATGAGGAGGCAATTCACACAAGGGAACATGCAAATTGTCAATAAGTATATGCTAAGATGCTCAGTGTCTGTAGAAGCCAAGAAAATGCAAATTAAACCAGTACAGTCTTTTTTTCACCCATTATATTTACCAACATTTTCAAAGAAAAGAGTGATAATGTTCAATTCTGGCTAACAGTGTTGAGACATAGGAATTGCTACAACCTATTTATTAGAAAAGTAATCTGGACACACCATTAAAAAAAATTTTTTAAGCAAACATTTTTTGACTCAGATATCTTCCCTTTGGGAATCTATTTTACTGAAATGAAAGCCCCAATATACCCAGACTTATCCCCAAGGAGACATGCCACACTGTTTTTGTAATTTCTAAACACAGACAACTTGAATGCCCAACCAGTAGGAGAACAGTTGAATAAATAAACAGTTAAACCTAACTCATCTGAAGGGATGTCCGTATACTGTTCAGGGGGGGAAGCAAGTTGCAGAGTGATAAGCATATTCTAGCAGCTTTTGTAATCGAAGCCAGAGCAAATAAGCAAGCCAGCCAACCCTGACTACGAGAAGGCTATGTCAGGACACCCTCCTATGACTCTCCCTGGCTGCCTCCAAGACAGGAGAGGGCAGAAATCATGCCTGTTTTTGTCCTTTTATATCATTTTTTAGCTCCTTAAAGTAAACACGTATTATTTTAATTCTTTAAAATCCTGTATAGCCCCGGCAGTGTGGCTCGGTTAGTTGGAGAGTCATCCCAAAAGGTGGCAGTTCGATTTCCAGTCAGGCCACATACGCAGGTTTCAGGTTTGATCCTGGTCAGGGCTTAGTACGGGAGGCAACAGATCGATATTTCTCTCCCACATTGATATTTCTCTTTCTCTCTCTCTCTCTCTCTCTCTCTCACCCTTTCTTTCTCTAAAAATCAATAAAATTTTATATACCTTTCTCCCTTTCTTTCTCTAAAAATCAATAAAAAAAATTTTTAAATCTGCTCAGCCAGTGTGTCTCAGTGGTTGAGTATTGACCTATGAACCAGGAGGTAATGGTTTGATTCCCTGTCAGGACACATGCCTGCATTGTGGGCTCAATCTCCAGAAGGGGGCGTGCAAGAGGCAGCCAATCAATGATTCTCTCTCATCATTGATGTTTCGCTCTCTTTCGCTCTCCCTTTCTCTCTGAAAAAATTTTTTAAAAACCTATTTTTCAAATCCAATAAAATAAGAAATGTTGATGTGTCCCAATTGGCTGTAAGTGGCAAGCTCCTCAGTGTGACATATAAGCCACCGTGGTCTAGCCCCTGCCGCTTCTCTGGCCTCATCGCTCTCCACATTTCTCCATACACAGTGCTTTAGCCACACTAAGCTATAGTACTTACAGTTTCTTAAATATGGCATCTTGTGTCTTATCTCTGAATTTTGCACACTCCCCTGAAAAGCTATTCTCCCCCCGGCCTCAACCTGGTGAACTCCTACTAATTCTTCAAAACCCAACTGAACAATGACCCCACCCCCTCTGTTTGCACCTCAGTGACAACATTTGTACTTTATTGACATTATCTGTGGGTATATGTGTGTGCACGTCTGTGGTGTCAGCCTTCATTGTGCTCGGATGGCCTATACCAATCAATTACTAGTAATGCTTGCTGAATGAATTAAAATGAAATTGGTGTGTTATAACTTCTGTGCTTTTGACCTAACAATAGCATCATTCTGGCTATGTTTTGATGATTTGTGTTTTTGATAAGCCGATGTGGGTGCAACGTCTTACAAATAGGCCAATAGTTTGATTGACTGTTTTGTCAAAAGTTGGGACACTTGCAATCACGGCTTTCCAGCAGCGAGAATTCATTTTTCTGTCTGAGTTAAGTTCCTAATAGGGAACAAGAATGAACATGGGGACGCAGCTGTGCTGTTTTGAAAGTTCAATCCTTAATTTTACTTCTTTTTCTTTCCTGAAGGATGTACGCTGTTGCTCCTGCCTGTGCTCGGGTCCAGTCCCAGGCCTGCCTGGCGCTGCCCTGCGCTGCACAATGCTGACCCCTGAAGCCTGCATCTCAGGCTCTTGTCTCAACTGATGGCAGCTCGGCTCAGCTCACGGCAAGCCCAGGAGGGGCCTGGAGGGCAGACAGAAGGGAGAAGCCGGGGTGCCTGTCCCCCCGCCCCTCTGCTTCCATCAACCGCCTCTCCTCCAGCTCCTCCGTGCCTCTAAGCCTCCATGAGACCCCTGCGTCCTTATTCCCCTCTTTTGAGCGCTCTGAGTGCACGGGGCCGTCACATTGCCTCCTCCCTCTGTGCCTCCACCTCGGATGGCAGTGACGTCCTGCTGTGGCTAACCTCTGCGTCACCTCATGAATGAGTTCTCTTTTGTTGTGAAACAAACGACCCAAAACTTAATGGCTTAATACAACTACCATTTATTTGTAGCTCACAATTCAAGAGGTAGCAATTTAGACTGGGACCAGCTAGGCAATTCTCCTGCTGGTCCTGGCTGGGCACGCTCATGCGTCTAAGATCAGCTGCCAAGTCCCCAGGGAGCTCTGCTTTGGAAGCTGGCCGGCTGTCATCTGGGGCAATGGTGAGTCCATGTGCCTCTCACATCAGCCAACAGTCTAGCGCGGCACATTCAGTTGGCAGCTGGTTCCAAGACAGAGAAGCCAAATGGGAAAACTTCTTGAGGCTCAAGCTTGGAACTCAGCGGCATAGGAAGATCTGCCCAGACTCAAGAGGTCAAGCAATAGACTCCATTTCTTGATGAGAGAGGAATTGGTGGCCATCTTTGAACTCTACCACACCTTACCATCTTCTCCTTCATCACCAAGTTCCTGGTACATTTCCTCCGTGATGACCACTGGAAGTCATTCCTGTTTGTCTAGTTAGACCTGTGTGTGTGTTTGAATGTGTTTGGGAGATAGGAGGTAAGGAACCCAGGAAAAATCTATTCCTATCGGGGTCCCCTTGGGGTTCTGTCATAAATATCTCCTGCCCAGGCTTTTTTAGAATTAGTCAATATGACAATACAGAGGTGTCCAAATTCAGCAAAGATGAGTCAAGTGTCACCATGTGGCAGGCACAGTGCTAGGTCCCGTGGGCTGTGTGGGGTGGAGGAGGCGGTACACAGAGTGCGGAAGGCATGGTGGGTTGTAAGTGGTACCTGAGGAGCCAGGGATAAGGGGTTTGGTAAGAATAGGAGGAAGAGGAGGAGGAGGAGGATGAGGAGGAGGAGGAGGAGGAGGAGGTGGAGGAGGAAGGGGAGGAGGATGGCCAGTATGATGATCATACAGCTCAGAGCCTGGTGGGGAGTGGTAAATACTCGGGTGAGAGTTTTCTTGTCTGTCTCTGCAGCCTAGAAAGTAAGATGCATGAATGCCCACACCTAGCGTGTGCTCACCACTGCCTCTCCATTGTTAACTAGAGGCCAGCACCCAGTAACTGGGGAACAAAACCTTTCTTAAGCGCATGCGTGAAAGGTGTGTACATGGCGCTACCAGTGCAGAGGGGAAAGAAGTCAATTCTGAGAACGGGGCAACACTTCATGAAAACAGATGACTTCCCACGTTTAGACTGAGAAACAGTTGTCAAATGTTGGCAGCAGGGAAGGGACTGACAGGAGGCCGAAGGATCAGCATGAGCAATGCCAAGGGGTGTGGGAGTGGGTTCGCCTCCCAGGATCACCTGCTTTAATCATCACTGTATGCAGCCCCCACAGGCTGCTTCTCTGAGCCCACCTCCCCGAGTACTCAGGAGATGATCTGGGGTCTCCGCTGCTCAGATTTGGCAAAGGACACTGCCACCGACCTTCAGGTTTGGGAAAAGCCCTCCTCAGTACAGGTGGAGGCAACTCTGCATGGATGGGCACAACGTGCGTTTGGATAACTTTCTCCTTGTGATTTGGGTGTTTTTGAATGTGTGCCCAGAGGCTCCTGCAACAAATCCCTTTTTAGAAGCTAAACAAACACACAGGGAGAGGGGAAAAAAGCCAGAAGCAACGGACGTGCCTCCCAGGGGAGCTTGGTTGACAGGGAAGACATCTGGACCCTGAGAGGAGAGGAATTCTGTCAAGAGAGAGCTCAGCTCAAAGCCCTTCAGTGAGTCACACTCCCTGCTTCTCCGGCAGGGAAATGAGCCAGCCCTCTCTGTGTTTCTGCCTGGGACCCCAGACAAGGCCAAAGAGAGCCCCACGCAGGGCAGCACTATTAGTCAGAAGAGCTGTCACCTCCTGCAGTAGGCCAGGCAGGAGCTGAGGTCAACTACAGGAGGAGAAGCTGCAGTCTTTGCTGTGATGCTGGCCCTTCAAGTTCAAGGCAATTCAGATGTAAAGTCCTCAACCCTCAGGCTTCAGCCGTAGAGTGAGGCTCCACTTCTCTGCCAGCTCATGCTGCCCAACCCTGTTACTCCCTACGAGTGTTCCTAACTCACTGCCCTTCCGGTTTTCTGTAGGTTAGATTCAAACCGGGGTTCCAGTCTTATAGCGTGGTTGGGGAAAGTGTGTGAGCTGATGTTTGTAAAATAACTTGCCATGAGGCTCACATGCAGTAAGCATTCAATAAATGTTACCTGTTATGAGCTGAAATGTGTCCCCCAAAATTCGAATGTTAAAGGCCTAACCCCAGGACCTCAGAATGTGACTGTATTTGGAGATAGGGCCTCTAAAGAAGTGAATCAGTTAGAAAGAGGCTGTTGGGGGGGGCGGGGGGCTTGACCCAACACGCTGGTCTCCTTATAAGGACAGGGAATTCGGGGACACACACAGGAATGGCCATGTACAACCCAAACTTGCTCACACCTGCACTTTGGACCACCTGCCTTCAGAACTGTGAGGAAATGTTTCTGTTGAAGCCAGCAGTGTGTGGCATTTTGTTACAGCAGCCCAGGCAGACAAATATACAACCTATTGTTGTTATTTTTACACCCAGATGCAAAACTGAGCACCAAGGCGCCCTTGATTTCCATACTGATACAGGCTCCAGACCAATTGTGCAAAGGAAGCCAGCTGTACCGAGGACGCTAAAAGCCCCATTCCCTTCTGCCCTGCTACACTGGCTGGCTGGCCGCTGGGACTGCCACTGTGTGACTCATGCCGTTTCTGGTTTCAGTGTGGGGTGCAGATCTCTGTAGAGACCAGATGACAGTTGCTATGAGTCAACAGCAGGGAAGTCCCTGAGGTGGGGAGAACTGCTCCACTCCCCAGCTCCCAGCTCCTGCAGACATGCTAAGAGCACATCACCCCAAATAATGAAGTTCTCCCCTGGTTTCCAAATGAACATGATTGCCCTCCCATCACCCTCTTGAAGGTCAGAAAGTCAGATTTCATAAAGGCTGCTACAGATGGTTTTAAACTAGTCCCTTCAGAATCCCACAATTAACACCTAATTACATGTCCTCACCAATTAGTGAAGGACTTGCCTGTTCTGGCGATGGCTGAGTGACCAAAAATCCATAATCTAAACAAAACATGTCTGCTCTCCCTTCTCCCCCAACACCCTACTCCTTTAATAAAGTTACTTAACCTCTGACCCTGGTGAATTATCTATCTGCAAGACAGTGCCGACAACACCTGTTGTCTGAAGGATCAAATGAGGTCATTCATTCATTTAACCAATATTTACCACATGACCTACCAAGCACTCATTGTTGTCATTCATCAGATACTCACTGTACACCTGCTCCCTGCCAGCCCTCTGGGATCCGGCACTGAAGAATAGTGAGGAGGTCTCAGGTCTCACAGACCTTACCTTCTCCCAGGGAGACAAAGAGCAAGTAGATCAGGGCTGGGGAACACCCGGCCCACGAGCCGGGTAAGGCCCGAAAAATCATTTGGTCCGACCCTGCCAAGGCTTTGGGGTGAGTTGATGAAATGTATGACCAAATATAGCAGGTTCATTTTTAAGTCGATAATTCTGTACGGCCGGCGAATGATGTTATAAATATCCACATGGCCCTTGGCAGAAAAAAAGGGTCCCCACCTCTGAAGTAGGCAAACAAGATGACTTCAGGCGGGACCTGCTACACTGGAAACAGTGCAGTAATGACATGGCAACCACCAGGCGAGGTTAGAGACAGCTTGTCACAGAAGGCCTTCTCCTCAGGCCTGCATGGTAAGTTGGATGTGGGAGGACCTGGGGAAAGAAAACGTTATCAGAAGGAGGTACAGGAGACTACAGGTGCAGAGGTTCTGGAAGGAAGGATGTATTTAAGGGCCAGAAAAGAACGGAAGGGCCATGGGAGAGAAGGGCAGGGTCCAGGAGAGACTGGCGCGGTGGGCAGAGGCCAGCTGGCAGAGGTTCCTCTGGGACATGGGAAGCTGGATCTTCCTGTGGTGGAAAGCAGACCAAGGAACTGAAAGACCAGTAACTTACCCTGAGTTCGGACAGGGCGGGTGTTTGAAGATGGTCTGAGATCAGTCAGGGCCGCCCTGGCTGTGGCCAGGACTGCACATCGGAGTCATCCAGGATCTTTAAACAAACACTGATGTCTAGACCCCACCCCTGCCAGTTCTGATATAATTGGGCTGGGCAGCAACCCGGGCAGTGGGGTTTGTTTGTCTGTTTTTAAGCTCTCTGAGGATTCCAATGGGCAGCCGAGGTTGAGACCACAGGAATAAGAAGCCACTGGAAGAGGATTGTAAGCAGAATGGCCTGATCTGGATTCTCCCTAAAGGAACTCAATCACACTGTAACCCATGATGTTCCCCTAGCAGTGCCCCATACGTAGTTGATTCCTGGTGTTCAATTCCTTCCCTCCCATATCCTCTGATCTTTCAGAAATCTGGAACTGCTGGGCACTGCAGAGAGAAAGTATTCGAGGGAATTATGTTACGGGGTCTGCCTCCATCAGGACTGTTTCCTGCCTCTGTCCTTGGAATTGCTCAGCCATCCCCCGGCCCTGGAGGCTCACTGCTGTGCTTCTGACAGCCCCGAGGACCCCAGCCCCCAGCGGAGCAGCTCCGAGGAACATTCAGAAGCAACTTGGTGACTTTATTTTGATAAAATACAATAATTACCATGCCTAGCAGCTGTTGCTATTTAAAATAAGAAAAACCTGGGCCTGAATTTAAACTGTTTTTGGTAAAGCATGTGCCCCACCAATCTGGTGCAACAAAATCAGACATTATGAAATCCTCAGAAGTGGAGCTTGTTACAGGAAGTTAAGATGCAAATCATATTTTGCTTCAAATGAGCCCGATGAATGCATAATTTTCCACAAAGAAATGCTTTTGTGTCAGGATCCTTTTGCCAAGAACCGAAGTTTCAGGCTGCAGCTGTTAGCGGTGTCTGATTGTCCATTTCAAACTGCAGGCAGTTCTGTTTGCCTAAGGAGGATGTGGAGCAAAGACAGGAAGAGCTACTCTCATCAATTGTCTTCCAGAATATTCTCTATGAGATCAGCCTGTATTTCCCAACGACCATACTTATGCTCGGAATTTACAGACCAAACCCCAAGGCAAGTCACCAGCTATTCCCAACGTTCCATCCATTCAGAAGAGGCTGTTTTTCCTCTCCCCCCAGGACTTTCTCTGACCTTGGGGTCATTAACTCTATTTGTCAGGAGCCTTTTGATTCCATGTGGAAGAAACCCAATTCAAATTAAATAAACACACCAAAAACAAGGCAGGAGAGGAATTATTTGTCCCTGAAACTGGAAAGTCCAGACATGATCTGGCTCCAGTACACGGGATGTGTGTTGAAGGGGACAGGAGAAGAAACTGGCCACAGACAAGTAAAAGGATGCTTGAGTGGTTCTGAGGGTGTAACACCTGCTCCACGGACTTGCCAGGCACCAGGTCCAGGCCGCGTGGTTTTCTCCAGGTGCAGACCCTAGAAATGGCACATTGAGAGATTTGGATTGAGTCAGCTTGAGAGGAATGGAAAAGAGAGAGAAGTTGTCCAGGCTCAGGGGTGTATTTAAAAGACACAGATGGGATGTGAGGCAGAGAAGAAAAAGAAGTCGGAAAGAGGAGGTTAAGACGGGAAGGGGCCCGGCCAGCATGGCTCAGTGGTTGAGCATCGACCTATGAACCAGGAGGTCACGGTTCAATTCCCAGTCAGGGCACTTGGCTTGGTTGCGGCCTCAATCCCACACATCCCCAGTAGAGGACGTGCAGGAGGTAGCTAATCAATGATTCTCTCAACACTGGTGTTTCTATCTCTCCCTCTCCCTTCCTCTCTGAAATCAATTTAAAATATATATATATTTTTTTAAAAAGACGGGAAGGGGTGAGTAAAACAGGAGAACTAAGTAACTGGAGGTGTGAGCGGGATAGAAGGACAAGAGATGGGGAACTGCCACAAGATGTGGGGCTGTGGGGAGAGAGATGGACAAAGGTCTATTGCGTGATGTACCCGCCTCTCCACCACTGTCTGGAGACCCTTCAATAAGCACGGCCGTATTTGTGCTCTCTGGGGAAGGAGGAGTGTTGCTTTTACTCATGGTGCTATGCTGAGAAATGGGCTTGGGGAAACCTGGCTTTACTCTGTTTCCAATCTGGTGGCTCTGAGTGTGAGGTATGGTAAGCTAATGTTTACAACAAGCGTGTAACAAGGCCAGGGGTTACTGCAAGTCGCCTTGTGGATGGAGCTGGATCTGAGCCACAAATCCATTGGAGGTTGGTCCTCCTATGACTCCTGGACAGTCCCAGGGGCCCTGATCAGTTATAGCCATTTCTCCACACACCCTCTCTCAAGCCCTCACCAGAGGTTGCTTCACCCTCTAACATCCCGACTCACAGCCAAGAATGGGATTAACACAGAGAAAGCAGAGCCCAGAGGTGAGAGGGCGGCTGGGAACCTGATACTGTCTCACCGCAGTGCCTGAGTAAAATACCCCTGAACTCTTCACTGACACGAGCCAACGTCTTATTTTTAAGCCCGTTTGCTTGGTTTCCCTGCCTGTTATGATGGAAAAGATCCTTAGAAATATACATACCCCAACCCCCCCGCCCCCTCGCCCTCCCTGAAGAAACTCTCAGGCTAAACTTTCCTGCCTCAACAGTAAACTCTCCCCACACCCGTCACCTCACCTGGGAGTTGTGAGGTGAGGTGACGGGTGTGGGGAGAGTGATGTACCCGCCTCTCCACCACTGTCTGGTGGAGACTAATGGGAATAAAATCCCAGTGATTTCAAATGTTGTCTCCTTCTCTGGGGTCTCCCAAAGGCCAGCAGGGTCACTGAGTCACCCTGGTACCATCCAACTAGCAATTTACCAGCCACAATGAGGTGGGGACTCCAGGCTCTACTCTGGGGGTAGTGGTTCGTCATTGCTTTCAATCCCAGCAATGCCAGCAGAAGTCTAAACTGCCCCTGGCCAGCAGGGGCCACCTCCAGAGTGTGTCCTTTGCCCAAAGAATGGCCAGGGACACCTAGCACGTGGTGAGACACTTCCCTCTGTGCCTCTGGAGTTCTCAAAACGAGGCAGGTGGCGGGTAGGAGAGGCCAGGGGAAGGTCAAGGGGGGGAAAAGGAGACATACGTAATACTCTTTGTAATACTTTAAGCAATAAAACAAAATTTTAATAAATATATCAGATGGTAGGCTTTAGGGCAAGAAATGTGATCAGAAATATAGAAAACAAAACAAAAGAAACAAGGCAGGTGTCTCCCACACTAGGTGGGCTGCCCCCCACGGGGCAAAGGCGCTCTTCCATGAGGCTCCCCAATAGCATCGCTCCGGGGGTTAGGATTACAACACATGAACTTGGGGGGACAGGACTCTTCCTGGTACAGCAGTAGCTATCATGCCCCCCAAACATCCAGAGAGCACGGTGGACGTGCTCCTTATGTTTCAGTGCGACCAGAACCATCTTCCTCTCAAGTCAATGAAAAGGCCTTTTTCTTTGTTGCTGTTACCAGAAATCGGAATACAATACTATATTGTCCTGCGTGGGTAAACATGCTCTTCATGTGGGACTGGGAATGGATAAAATAGGAGACAAGAACAGGTATTGAGAAGTTTTTTTTCTTCCCATTTTCATTTGTGTGAGGATTTTTAATGCAAAGCGGGGACAAGCATTCGTGCAAGTCAAAATGTGTAGCGAGCAATTCTACAATAATCGCAAATATGCCACTTAAGTACCTTCTAACCCAGGCCAGCATCTGGATTGTTTAAACAAGTACATTTCTTTCTTTGTTTTTTAGTAGGAGATGAAGTTTATTTCTAATTTAGAGATAAAACATAATTTCAAGGAGATGCCAGACTCAGAGAGCAGTCTGCCTGCTGCACGGTATTCACTGCCACTCTCCTGCCTTCGATCGGAGAGTACGAAGGACTAGAGATGCACCCATGAAGAGCATTGAAACAGGATTTTAAGAGTTGCCATTATCAAAGAGTAATGAGTAAACACTTTTAATACTCACAGAGACCAGAGGAGAATGCACCGCATTCAGTAAAACACATTCTAGATCAGTGGTTCTCAACCTTCCTAATGCTAAGACCCTTTCATACAGTTCCTCATGTTGTGGTGACCCCCAATTTCATTGTTACAAATTGAACATAATTAAAGCATAGTGATTAATCACAAAAACAATATGTAATTACATATGTGTTTTCCGATGGTCTTAGGCGACCCCTGTGAAAGGTCGTTTGACCCCCAAAGCGGTCATGACCCACAGGTTGAGAACCGCTGCTCTAGATGCTACGGCTGCCCACCCAAACCCCTTAGTTGGACATGAAGCCAGCCCAGCTTCCCTGGTGCCGGCTGCTCACGTGGCCCAGTGGTGCAGACGGCCCTCCTCCAATCACGGCATCTGAAGCAGGGACCCTCCTCACAGCCCACAGCTCCGGATGTTGTAGCACTTTAATTGGGTTGTAAATTCCACTCATTCACCTTCTAAAAAGAAAAGCAAGTCACTCTACAGGGAAGCACATCTTTTTAATGTACTTCTCTGCGGTTCCCGCGGATTTGTTATTACAATCGAGCGGAGTGGATGCATTGACACTGTTTCTGATGCTGGGTGTCCGGCTAAAATGGAAATCTGGTGCAGCAGCTCTGAGGTGGGCCTGGGCGGTCATGACTTCAGGCCAGACGCTGCTGCTGCTGCTGCTGCCGCTGCCGGCCGGGAGACCGCACTTGGAGGTGAGGGCTTGTAATTATCAAACCCACGGCCAGTGTGTGGCCTCGGGAATGAAGGTCGGGGTCTTCCGACGCTTCCTCTCGTTACCTTTCAGCTGCACTGCACAGACTTTAATATTTAATAAGGTCACCACAAAATCCATCATCCACACCGACACGTTTTTTGAAGTAAAAGGGAGCACCAATGACAATTGCCAGGCGCATCGCAGGACTGTCCAGGACAAACAGGGACTTACGGCTACCCTGGCTTTCACAGAAGTGGAGATTACCTCCCAATGAACAAACTAGTTAGCATTTATTGTAAACCTCTTGGGAAGAAGGGCACACTTCCTCCAAGAGCACGGCAATCTGAAATGTTTGCAATCGCCAGAGGTTGTTGGGAGGGTAAATAAAGACTGAGGATAAGAGGCACACATTTAATTTAAGTAGCTGTTGAAAAGGCTATTGATAAAGTTCTCCAGTAAATGCTGCTAAAGATGAGTCAGCAGAGGATGGGAGGGATGTTCTTTCATGATGGGATGCTGACTTAGAGCCCAGAAAACAAAGGCGAGGGATACACAGGCACTTATCTACCCTAGGGTGGGTGGCCAGCCCGCCGCAGCGCCTGCCCGCCCGCCAGAGAAAGGACCAGAGATGGGACTGGCGGTAAGGAGCCAAGAATGCACACTTGGCTTAAAATGAGGAAATGAGCGTATCCAGAAAGAAGTTTCAAGGTGTTTCAGTGTAGGCGTGGGTGAACGGCGGCTAGAACAAAAGCCAGATGAGATACCAGACTCTTTTACTCAAAGGATACCTAATTTCAAGGCAAATGCATTTAAAAAAAATTGCTCAGCTTGTCAGTTTGGATGACTATTGGGCAAAGTGTGTGACTAAGGGGAATACTTTGCATAACTGCAACAAGATAGCGTAGGTTAAAGCTGCGGCTCTCGGCACCAGCTGCACACCACCATCGCCTGGGAGGCATCTGCCAACCGCCAGGCCCGGGCTCCGACCTGGGTCTGCTGCATCGAAATCTCTGCGGGTGAGCTCAGCTGTCTGCACTGGGGGCTGCGGGGGGACAAACACTCCACTGGAGATTCTGATGTACAGCCGGGGCTGAATGACAATGAGTTGACTAATAACAATGATGGAGGAATGAAGGTTCATGTTTGTTGACCAAAGGAAAGGAACTCAAATTAGTTAATGGAGCATAATAGCATGGTGCATAATTCGTAATATTCTACTTTTCTCTAACATTTTATTGAGAAATAGAATGCACTCTTTATGTGTAAAACACAAATATATAACTTAGCACATCATGTACAGTGAACATGTGGGAAACCACCACCATGTCAAGAAGATCATCGCCAGCACCAGACGCCCCTTGTGGGCCCTCCCAATTACACCTCCCTCTCCCCGCCTCCGGAGGGAGCCACGATCCTGGCCTCTTAAATAACCAGTTTTTTGTTTTGCTTTATAATTTCACCAGGTTAATATATACCCCTAAACAACATATTT